ATACAGCGCTGAAATCTCAAAACTCATAATTTAGCAATTTTTACAAGTTTCCGAAGAAAAAGAAATACGCATGCTAGAGATCAGAGAATAAACGATGAGCGGTCAAGACGAGGGGCGCACTCCTTCCCCATTCTAGTGAGAACTGAGACTTTCAAAGGTTTGCGCAGAATTTTCGACTACCTGGCTCTATGCCTTTGAAGCTTTCAAGCTATAAAACCAAGCACGGGCATGGCGTCGATAGAAGTAGAAATGTCCGAGAAGTCTTTGATCAGTCAATGACCGCACTGATGGGACCACAAAAATGTGCTCTACATCCTTTCCACAGATTTACTGTGTAGCTTGCAGTGCGACTGTGACCTACAAACAAGTGCGTGAGAACAAACGGCGAGATTAATCGAATTTGGTTTATTACATTTTAGCCGCAATTTTCCCGCTTTCGATAAATTTCATTCAAAGAAGAGAACGCTTAGATGTGAGACCCGTTATTTCACTCGCAGCTTGTCCACCCCAAATCAATTCACCCTGAAGCTTCAAAACTTCATCAAACTTGCTGTAGAGCTGATTCACTTTCCCACCCAAAATGGAGTGGAAGAAGTTGAGCCTAGGCAGATTCTTGTACCAAATCATTCATCTCACAAGGAAATGGTCAAAAATCGAAGTGGCCAATCCAAACAAGCTGCATACCGTTTAATCTTATATATAAAGCTGAATGTCTGTTTGTCTGTCTGTCTGTATGTCTGTATGTCTTTATGTCTGTGTGTCTGTGTGTACGTATGTTCCGAATAGAAAATTCCATTTCTGAACCGATCGGGACCAAACTTAGCACACATACACTTCGGGCCCCGGCGGGTGTCATAGGCTACTTTTCGTCATCGATCGATATCGATTTTATCAATTTTTTGCAAAATTTGAGCTACGGGGCTTGGAGTTGGCACATGGGGGTAATCGAGCATGCTGATCACCCCCGTGGGGGTGATCAGCATGCTCGATTACACCCCTCTGCCAAATTCCAGCCCCCTAGCTCAAATTTTGCAAAAAATCGATAACATCGATATCGATCGATAACAGAAAGTGGACTGTGACACCGCCGGGGCCCGAAGTGTATGTGTGCCAAGTTTGGTCCGGATCGGTTAAGAAATGGGATTTTCTATTCGGAACATACGGCGGAGCCGGGTAAGCCAGCTAGTGCAGCATAAAACACTGACTTCGAATCTGTTTTCCGTATCTCCTTATCGCGTATGTGGGCGAAGTTATGAGCCGTCGGGCCGTTATTTTGCTAAGAAATCGTGCATCCAGAGCGCAAATTTGGCAATAAAAAACCATGTCTGGCTTGAAGATAGGCCTAAACATGCAGCTAGGTTATTTTATACTATTAAAGCTAAAAAATGAGCTGAAAGTGCAACACTGTGCTCAATTTCGCAAATTTTGTATACGATCTTTTCGCAATAAATGTGCTCATATCTTTTCCACAAAAGCGATAAGCAAGTATGGAATACAGTTCGAAATCAGCATTGAATGCTGCATCGAATGGTATGTAACTTATTTGGATTAGCCACTTCGACTTCTGACCATTCCCCTGTCAGTCTGCTCTCTCTCTATCACTCCCCCCCCCCCCTCACAAACCGTCATCCTCCTCTCATCGAACCGTGAAAAAATTTGTTGCGGTGGTTATGGGAGCCAAATATTGTCTTTCTGGTGCATTTACTTGGATTTCTTCGTTGCTTTTAGATAGAACTGTTCAGAAATATTCGAGATTTTATGTGACGCATTTTATAATCTGGGTTCCACAGCCAACACCGTAAAAAATGCGCGAAGGTATAAGCGAGGGGCTGCTCGAATGCAACCTGATAAACAGACTGCGACGAAAATGGGAAAGTCCCCAAACTAGCCTAGCAGAACTTCTTGGCATTAAATATTTGTTGCATTAAAAAGCTTGAAGACCCGCATGATTTCCCTTGCGTGCTCAACACACTTTTTCTCGGGTTACAGCGTCAAAACTCCGTTATGTCTTGGTTAGCGCATAAAATCACTTACATGCTTATTCAAATTCCATAACTGGTTTTATTTTTGACAATCCTGTCCAGTTTCGGTAAAGAAAGAAAGACATGCTTTTCAACATCGCTTGAGCTCCTGTTATTGCTGCGTACCCGACTATTCAACTTGTACACTTGTTGGCGGAACACACTTAATGACCTAGTCTTCTTAATCAAGATGAGCAAACCAAAATAATGTTTCTGAGCTAGAATTTCTTTCGGCTGCAACAAAAAACCGAAAGGCTGCAAAAGTAGGCTAAAGTTCGCGCGCCGACACATAATCTCTGTTTTCAAAGCTCCCACTTGTGTTCCCGCGGCGCACACGCAACGCAAATGGACAATTTTTGAGGCGCCCATAACTTATTTGCTCTGAACTATCCAACTGTGATCTTCCTCCATATTTCTTAAAGGCAGTGTCCGGGCAAAAACTCGATCTTGAGATTTTGTGCTTATACGGGCCTATTCGCCATGCTGAATCCGAAAATCCACACTGGAAAGCGCGGAAACGGCAAAAAAGGGCTCTAGCGCAGAAGGGAAAAAGCAAGTGGGCGGGTCCCTCCCCACTGTGAATTCACGCTCCTAGCTTCCGTAGCGGTCTTCTCGATTTCGCTAGCCATCTTAACATCGTTACCGGCCAAGTGCGAATGACTGACCTGAAACCGGAAGCGAGAAGAACGCTCCGGAAGCTGGGAGCGTGAACTCACAGTGGGGAGGACCCCGCCCACCTGCTGATTTCGCTCGCGTGTTAGAGCCGTTCTTCGCTGTTTTTGCTGTTTTGTTCGCTTTGTACCGATAGCCAGACATCTGTCATCTTTTTCCTCCTCATCTTTTTCACTTGTATTTCAAAAAGAGCTTCAAATCGCCGTGAATGTGTAAAAATTAATCCTTTCCCTTCGCAGAAATCCGTAATAACGCGTAATATACCCGTCTTCCAGTCATGGACTATTTCCGATGCACGCTAGCATTGCTCTCGGAGCACAGCGCGGGTGACCTGTACTCAAGTGAGAAGTTTTCCAACACGAACTGTAAACGTATCGTCGATTCGTTCACCGCACGGACTGCTCGAACCCTGCGCACGCGCGGCGCGGCTGAATTGTCTCGAGAGCACGACATGTACAATAGCGAATTTGTACTGGGGCAAGCGTTTTACTTCGCGGCGCATGCTCCGCAGTGATGTCCAGTCCGTGCGGCCAAAGAATCAACTATACCTAAGTCAACTGCTTCAATTCTGCTGAAGATCCATCCACTAAGTAGTGTTATTCCTATAGAATCTAGTAGCAGTATTCGTGTTATCGTATGTTTCGTGAAGGTAAAAATTATTGTTGCACTTCTAGGTCATTTTGCTCCTTGCTTCGGATCTCTATAGGGCTATACATGATCGAGAGAGTCGGTGTGTTGGCGACCTCGCGCGCGCATTGAATCTCAATTACTTTCTCCTTTCGAACGCTTTTCTGCTATATACCTGATGAAGCTAGCTTCCAACTACCAGAAACGATTTCAAATGTACAGGTTTGAGGCTTTGTAACATTCTGTATGTGCAATGGGAGCAAAGTCAGCGACTTCCTCGATCACGCAGAGCTCTAATGAAAAGCAAGGCTAACACGTTTTCAAGACTGATAGGGATCTTCTAGTCAAAGTGGCCCAGATTTTTCTAGTGAAATTCGTGATATGCTGAAAAGATTCAATGCTGATTCCAAATTTGTTTTCAGTATCCGTAAAGCGCCACAAGAGTGGAGATTTCGCTCAGGATGGTCACTCCGATCGAAAAGCCTTCCCTGTGGGATGTTAAAAACAGAACATAATCAATTCTCAAATGAAGGACGTTGCGCAATATCGAAGTGAATGAGACATAATCCAAGATGATATAGCTGTAGTATACATCAGTGCTGGAGAGGCTTAGAGGCAGCGTCCAGGCAGATTTGGACATTTTCGGATACTATCATAACCGAGTGATATGGCCTCGATCTAGAACTACCGCGCAAATCCGACTTTCGAAAACCCTCCGCAGGAGAAAATCGGAGCAGAAAAGGGCGAGCTTCGAGGACCACACCCACTCCCTCGCACCGCCCGCCCCCATGAACGAACTCTCCCTAGCCCTTGACGTGTTTTCACAAACACAATCGAACAGATAGTGTCTACCTGATAATGCTTGCTTTCGACAAGGATCGCATACGGAGCACTTGTCCACGATTCCTACAAAACTGTCTCAAAAATGGGGTTTTTCGAGGAATTCACGCATTTGAATGCTACATTTGGAATCAACGCCACGAAAAGGTCTAGATAAGGCAAAACATAGAAGTCGGGATCCTGTCTGCACGCTGTCTTTAACATCTGTCAGTATTTGGTAGGCGCCAGACTTATCCAGTTGATGCGATTCACTCTTTCGCTATTGGTCAGATCATTGAATTGACCAACAGCGAACGGGTGAACCAGGATGAGCCGGCTGAACCGGATAAGTCTAGCGCCTGCCTTGGCAGTCTCGGCAAAAGCACTCTGTAAGATGGAAGTGATGAAAAGGGCGCTCATAGCAATGACAGTGATGCATGTGATCCAAAATGATACGATTATTGGCTGCAACGATATGGCGCATGCAAAAAGAAAAGTTCTAACATAGCAGAAAACACAAGAGGAGCAACAATTAGCACTCAAAAACTAGGAATACTCGCAGAGAGCAAAACGAAACGGATCGATCAGTATAAAGCATAGAAGGCAATCGCTGTAGTGAAGATGCAGAAAGAGTGATAGAAAGCTGTCTCGACACAGCAAGAAAAAAAATTGGAACTCAAAACTAAACTGCATCGGATTAAAAATTCTCCAAAACTCGTAAGAAGAATTCTAGTGGAATCAGATGAGCACTGCTGACCTGAGTGGAAGACAACGAAGGCATGCACATTCGAAAGATGAACAAATTTGAAAAGCATGTAACAAGCTTGGTAAAGCGCTTGGGATGGAAAAACAAATAAGAACCTTAATCGAAAGTCCAAAAAAAATCCAATGGCATGACAAATTGGCATAAATAATCCTACATCGTGCCCATCAACATTGCCTGTAAGTGCTGAACTCAACTTCCAGGTCCAGTGTAACCTGCGACTCATATGCAGGCAGCAAATCCAACATCATTCGCCCATTTCAGAGAGTTTCACATCGGTGAATTACCTTGGCGTATCCACATAAGTAACAATGAAGTCTTTATTCGCATAAGGTATATGCACGTAGTAGAACAATAAGCAAATAAATTATTATGAAAGTGCAGCATTGTTGCACACATAAGTGTAGCAATACAACAAAAGTCAAGGAAAGGCCCCTAGGAATACATTTTGATTTGATATCTTATATCAAATGGCTGTTGTCGCAACGCTCGAGGGACGGAAGTAGTGATGAATAAGTATATGATGAGAAGGTTTCTGTTTTTTAATATGAGGTTCAAAAATGCTCAAAAAGTATAATTCCGCTATTGTTTGCCCCTTGAGCAACGACTTAATTCGAGGAAGAACCCCCGATATCACATCTGCATCACGACAAGAGTCGCAGTCATAAAGCGTAGTGAACTAAATCATTCAAAAAAACGAGCGAGAAAAAGGCTAACGAGGAGAGCAAAAAAAGCATGATAAGATGATGAGGAAGGAAAGGAGGCGACGAAAAAAGTAGGAACAACTGATAAAATATATGATGGAGAACAACACTTGATGAAAAGGCATATGGGTGCTGAGGAAAAGGTATTTGCAAAAAAGTTTCTCACAAGAAAAGCTGCTTTAGAATGAAGCTGCCTATGTATGATGTGTTATGGAGGAATGTCATCAATTCTAGTGATTAATATACATACGAACTATTTCAAAAAGGTAGAATTCAGACTTTGACCCCAGCACACATACAGCAAAACACAGAACTGAGACTTCTAAGTATTAATTGCAATATATTGAGCTATGCGCGCCTAATTAAACATGATATGGCGCTTCTATCAATGCGATAACATGGCTTAGTTCTGGCATTATCCAGCGAAGATCAAAATAAATAAGGTCTTGTTGCAGCACTCACAACAATAGTCAAGCTCCTTCTTGAAAGAGATACTGCAGCACGTCACCCCATCATCAAATTCACCAGGATATAGCAGCAATTGCCAGATATTCGAAAATACGATAATACGTACACACTTGATTTGGACTAGAGGAGCGTCTTGTTCAACATTTGTAGCAAAAAAGAAAACTGAGTGAGCAAGAAAGAACTATATAAAATGAGATAGAGGTGCATACATTAAGAGCAAAAAGCACTTGAAAGTTGAAATGATTTTTCAAACCTTCGCAAGCTACAATTACAGCGCCGTGGTATGAGAAGAGTTACCACAGGACTCTGCTAGCTGTCGTTCTTCAGCTGCGTGACGTTCAGCCATCGCACGACCCCGTGCTTCTCGCTGCTTCTGCATTTCATCCCGTTCTTCTCTGAATCGCTGCTCAAGCACTGCTCGTCGCAATAATATCCTTTCGTCTAATGCTGTACGCTCCTAAAACCCAAGTTTGGCAACAAAGAAGAATGTCAGAAAAGTGGCTGAGCCTTATAATTAGGCAACTCATACTTTGAAAACGTCAAAAATGAGTATCAAATCGTAGGAAAGAGAAAAGGTGAACTCGAAATGTCATAATGATAATTGGGGGCGAAACGACACTTGCCTTGTCTATGGTATTTTCAAGTTGTATCCGTTGTTTTGTTTGATATTCCTTGAGTTGGTCAAGTTCTTTGGCGAGTCGCTCATTCAACTGACGGGCTTCTTCTTCTTGCCAAGATTCCAATTTTCCCTGCAAAGATTGCTCCACTCATTATGCAAACATGACCTAGCAACATACAGTCTTCTCGTGGACCATGCTCTCGATTTGATATTCGTATTGAGACGTCAACAAGGCGATGCGGTGCTTTTGTTTCTAAAAATGATTAATATTGTTTTTGACGCTCAAGTCAAATTGTTCAAGTCAATAATTCAATCACCTCTTTCAATTGCATAGCAATCTCCTTGTGTTCTTCCTTCGGAGCAGCCTGCATCAGCTGGGTCTGATACAATTTGAACTGGCGTGTTTGTGTCTTGACAGCTTGGCGGAACTGCTTTCTTATTTGTGCTTCTTTCAACTAAAGCAAGCAAATGGAATTGGGTGGGAAGCATGTGAACAATCGTCATTTCTTGATAACTTTCCGGTTGTAAATCACATACCTTGAGTTCTCTAGGTTGCTGCCTGCTCTGTATAGCATGACGCTTCCGCAGATCGTCAGTTTTCCTCTTCGTATACTCTGTCTGATTTGTAGACTCCGCCTCATGTTGTATTATCTGAAAGCACGAGTTTAGACGTAAACTAAATAGACATTCGAACAGGAACTCGAAGATAAAGGGTCGTCCTTGCTTTATTGCAGTTCCACAAACCTGATGACGTTTCCTCATCGTCTGGATTTCCCTCAGTTGAGTCAGTTCGATATCCTTTGTAGCCTCGTGATGACGAAGCATCATTGCATGTCGGTTGTCCATCTGGCGTTCCAATACATTCAGATCCTACAAGTGAAAAATAACCACATAGATAGAGAGAATAAAACGATTGGTACGGATATCTAAAAGGGAAACCGTACCTCCTCGTCTAATCGCTTCTCTATACTGTGCATCAAAAGCAGCTGAGATCGACGATATTTAGCCAATTCGGTCTCCAATTCGGCTCGGAGTTTTGCCTCAAAGGCAGTCTCAGCGGCAGTCCTTTGCCTAGTCAGTTTAGCTTTCACATCTTTGAGAGCTGCCTCATACGCTGATTTTGACAGGCCGCTTTCCTTCAAGCCCTGTAAGAAAAGAAGTTCGAGTCGATAATCTTGCAACACGACTGGATCACAAATACAAGGTAGGTGGTAAATACAGATGCACAGTGAGGTACAATCCAGTCACATAAATCTTCAAATTACTTACACTCTTAGCCAAATCTTTGTTGTGGCGATACTCTTTCAGCTGTGAGTTCGAGAAGCACCGCATTTCATGCGCTTGACGAGTCTATAAGAAGTTTTTTTACACTATGAGAAAGTACGGGCTTGAAAAATTGCGTGAAACTGTCGAGACGCAGACTGATTAGATTGTCCGCAGTCCTAGCCATTTGGGCGATGCCCAACAACTCCAGATAAACTGTGCCCAACCGGGTGACCGGAGGTTTCCTTCCCCTCTCATGCATATTTTGAATACAACAAATATTCTAGTCATAAATGTTCTTATGAAGCAGCCAACCAAGGTGAAGGATCAAGTCAAGATCACCTCTTGTACTTATAACAGAATAAGAGAAAGGGATTTTGACGAGACTGCCGGTACACAAAGATTCAATCCGTTAGCTAGTGAAATGTTTGCGCCGGTATGCGTATTGAGAAGGCATATAAAGTGTCACTGAGAAGACATATGAAATGTAGCAAAAAAATTGAGCTCTACAGTATGAATCCGCAGCTACCATACAAGATAGATGCAAAAACTCGTAAATTTTTCGAGAAATAGATCTTTCTCTGAAAAGCCCAGTTTAAAATACACGGATTCGCATAGATATTTCCGCAGCGTAATCTTACGAAAATAAACCATAATAAATAAAATTGAAAGCAACAAAATCGCCCCTATCATTGTTTCCGCTCATTGAACATATGTATCCTACACAAAATGGAAATGAATCTATGATCAGCCAGAGATCGTAAAAATTGCCTTTCTATGTGATCAGGAACTTATTGTTAGCAGCTCAAAAAGATACTTACCAGAACTTGCTTTCTCAACTTCTTTTCCCCATCCTCCAACTCTTTACGCTTCTTGTCCAGTTCATTCTGGTGTGCACTTTTGAAACGTTGCCTCTCCTTGAAAAACAATGATGAAGCAATTCGATTTATGGCATTTAAAAAATTTCAAAATTTTTAGCACAACTGGACCAAAGTATACGTACAAATCATGTACTCAACTCTACACAAGAAATTATCGGGTTACAATAATAAAATGAGGCACATGACACAGTTGGAACTCTGAGAAATGAGGAAGAGGTGTACAAGTTATGGCATCACCTACCTTTGCATATCCAGCAATCAACTGATTCAACTCCTTGTCCAGTTGTGTATTGAGCTGCTCAATGTCGACCGCACAACGCTCCTCCAGCTAAAAATGGAAGATAGAAACAGGAACACAGTAAACAAAGGTAAAACATAGAAAACGTAATATTAAAGCATAGAAAACAACATTATCATATTCCATCACTCACCTGCTTCATCTCCTTATGATGCAGTTGACGCAAACGTTTGTATCCATTCATTTGTTCGTACATGTTATTCTCCTTATTGTACTCTTCTTGCTCTCTGGAAATTAACTTCGCAGACCGCAGAGTGGAGAACTTTGATTTCCGTAGCGTTGCCATGTCATCCTGAAAAACAGCTTTCATTCTTGACATTCTTGTCTGAAAAAAGACATGCGCCGAGAAGCAATCGCACAATCTCATACGATTAGAGGCTTAAGCACACGTATTTCCAACAGAAAAAAAAGTGAAGCGCAAAATCTGTTTACTTGAAAATGGCAACTTGACCCCCACAAAAATCACGCACATTCTCAAAATCACGCACCCATATATTGATTAGAGACAGAAAAGACGATATCAACTCCCGATAAAAATAGAGTTGAAGCCAAAAGCCAGAACTGCGCAGCTCAACATTTTTTACATGTTATGAATAGAAATGATTCAGAATATCAAAGTATCCGAAGCTTCACGAAAAGTGAACAAAAACTACCTTAATGTTCCTATCCATCTTCAAAGAAGGAATAGGACTTGCCGGACGCGTGCTTTGTGCATCAGAGCCATCCAGGGAAACATTTCCAACGGGAATCAAAGTGCGATTCTGGAGCTAAGAGATAAATGTAAGCAAAAAAAAACAAAAAAAAATTACCTCTCCTTCAGCATTATTGGATAGTAGGCTAGCTGGAATTGGAGGACGAGTGCTCGATCCATTTCCACCACTACTACTTTGCATAGATCGAAATGAGTTGAGACTTTTCATCGAGCCACTCTTAGAACTTGTCGAGTCGCCTATAAACATAAATGACTCCAAAAAGTGTGGAGTAATTCGCTGACAACTAAGACAGACACGGGAATAAACTAAAGATTCTTGGTTTTTTTCTGACATCGAACTGAATAAGGCGAGGAATATGCATATAGAGAGCAAAAATTAATAAAAATCCTCAAAACTGTTACATGAGGTCGAGTGTTAAGCTGTCCAAACCAACCTTTGCCAACCGATAACATCCCTGGATTGTTCCCTACATCATCCTGTTCTTCGCATCCTCCACCTTAACCAAAGTTTCATGCAGGGAGAGGACAAGGACTTCAGAAAAACTGGTTCAACTTGAAAGTGCTAAGGATAAACGAAATGAGAGTTGTCCGATGAGAACATGAAAGAAAAGCACCCGCAGAGAAATAGTAGCCATGCAAGAAAGGAATGAAATCCCGCCAAACTGAGAAAAAAAAATAGAAGATTAATTCTCCTCTATGGCCCACGCTAAATCATCTGTGAGCTTGAATCCTCCTTTTGAGAAGCAGCCGCAGATAAAAGGGCTTTTATGAAGTCCCTATGCAAAGGCCTACCCTTTTCACTTAAGGGACCCTTTTAAAAAAATGTCACTTGAAGATTGAATTGAAACAGCAGAATCGAAAATTCAATATAACTGAAAATTTGTGATTGATCTGCTACCAAGTCATGTCAACGATGCGTCTTGAAAGGCTCATAGCACACAATATCAAACTGGAGTTTGGAAAACAGCTAGTATGTGAAAGCAGTGGAGAAACGCACAGAAAAATAAGAAGAAAACGGAAGATTGAGCTTTGTACCTTGATTATTGTCGCTATCCTTGTTCTCAATTTCATCCAAATACATAAGCTTCCGCATCTTTTTATACTGAAAATTGTCCAGCTCCAAAACCTGAATAGGGCCAATAAAATCATTTCACTGATTTAATATCCACACCATGACTTACAATGGCCTTCGTTCTCGATATAAGTTCATGAATTACTCCCCTGTGTTCGGGATGTGTGATGAAGGCGTGCTTAAATTGTAAACATGAGTTAAGCATTTCTAGCACGAATGACTTGACAGGCGTCTCTCTTTTCAGAGCTTCAAAAGCACAGCAAATATAGTAATGAGATCCACATTACCTTTAACAAATCTCCCGTGGATGGTCGCTCATCAGCTTCTTTTTGCAAGCAAATTTCTACAAAATCTTTGAATCGGTCGGACCTGAAAAAAAAAAAACTAGAATACTAGAGAGAAAGACGGTTTCGAAATTATCAATTGGACTTTGAACGTTGCTTACCAATCCGGTTGATTTTCAGCTGTGACAGGAGCTAATTTAGGAGGATCATTTTGTGCAATGTGATACAGGGCTGACATAGCATTCATGTTGAATAATGGTGGGCGACGCTCAGCTAGAGAGGCAGAATTTGTTACACAAATCCAGAGAATATATAGCAAAATATGTAGCCGTTTGATGATGATCAAAGAAATTTTATTACTGAGATATGATCTAAACACAAACCTAGCTCTATACAAGTGATACCAAGCGACCAAATATCAGCTTTTTCCGTATAATGGCCTTCGTCCATGGCGAGAATGACCTCTGGAGCCATAAAAAAAGGAGTCCCGATGAAAGTCTGCGCTGGATCCGCCATTGAAGCAGATCCAAAGTCAGCTGGAACCTTTTGATACACGGAGGAATACAACGAAAAATCATATACTCACCGAGCTTCACATGAGCTGAATCAGAAAGCAGGATATTGCCTGCTTTTATATCCCTATGGATGCGTTTTAACTGATGGAGGTAATGCAAAGCAGAGAGCGTTTCACTACAAATCGCCGAGATCTCAATTTCACGCAACCCTTGCCGCAAAACATCAACTATGTCCGCTGCAGAACCGATGCAATATTCCATCACAAGCTTAAAAATAAAAGATAAAGCTTTCAATAGTAATATAACACCAAACGCTTACCCAACATGTTTGTTCCTTCAAAAAACATGCTTTGTATTCAACAATATGAGGATGCTTAATTTTATGGAGAAATGAAACCTAAAAATATTTGAGTGAGGTAGGCCAATTGCTATAAAAGTGCAAACCTCTTTTAAGATATCTGCCCACTTCTCACCAGCTTGCTTGCCCGAATAGGACATCTTCTTGATAGCGACAGTCTCGCCTGTATCCTTGTCATAAGCCTGAGTAAAGACAAATAAGTCTGATTCAAGTTGATAAAGCGGCGTTATACAGTGGCCTAATATAAGATTGATCAACTCACAAAGTACACGGCGCCAAATGACCCATGTCCAATTTCTCGCAAATCATCATATCGAGATTCTGGGTCTTTATTACTGAAGAGAGCAGCTATGGCAGGATCCTATAAGGAAGGAGTGAACAGATATCAGTGAAAGGTACTGGTGACAGCTGTGATAAGAGCGAAGGCTACAACATCTGCTTGGCATTCTGTGACCCGGACAACTTCGCTCAAAGCAGTGACATGACATAAGATTAACAACTGCTAAGAGTGAAGACGCTAATCTGGTACTGGCCTTCTCTCACAAAAACAGGCAAAGTGAAAAGTTACAGATAACAGTCTTCACCCCAGCCTTTCGTAGCAATTTACGAATAAAGTCAAAACTCAACAAATAATGCTCTCATATTCCTAGTAGAAATAAACATGTATAGACATAAAAAAACTGATTTCATGAAAGTGCATGAAAATCACCTACATAATTCAAAAGCTATATTTTACTCTGTAACCATTTCGTTACTTCCTTTAGACAAAATATAGTATTTCCGGGCTCTCTCTGGAACATATTTAACACATACAAACAAGGCCGATTTTTCGGTAACCGCCATTTCGGACCAGAGCATATTTCGCCATATTGTGTTTATGTAGTATTTTCTGGCCATGAATGGGTTTTATGGTCTAAGGTGTTGATCTTTCAAGAGATGTATACAGAAAGCAGTTTGCACAAAAGTTTTCATCGTAAATTAGCAAAAAAACTTCGGAAAGCGTACGACCCACCGGTGGGTCACTGTCCGAAATAGCAGGACACGTACAACCCACCGATGGGTCGTATTGTCGTAAATGTGTTAAACCAAAATTTGTAATGAGGAAGTTTATGGCCATGAAGCATATAGGTTAGTGAACAAAACCACGATGTGATACACAGATGTGGTTTTCGCTACCCATTTCGAACAGTTTGAACAATGCTGAAGTTTGCACAAACAGTTTTTGCTATGAAATTCTGCATTCCAACCGCAAATTCCTAGAGACCTCAAATACACAAGAAAGCGAAGAGGATGAGAAACGACAAGTCTGACGACTTGTGGAAGATGGCACACGCTTGCTAACATTCCGCTAGCTTGCGAAGCGCGCAGCAATCACCTTTTATTTTTTCATACCAGAAAAAAATTGATACCTTTATCAAACCAGGCTTAACCCCGGATGGGGCCATTATCAGAGCGGGAAACCTTTGAAGAGACCATGAAACGTCGAATCGGTGGCAAGATGAGGATTTATCCTTCCTAAGAGTTTCACGGAAATACGCCTGTAACTCACAATGATTTCACTCATTGCCAATCAACTTCAAAACTAGAACAATGGAGGCATACAAGGCACAAAGCAAAACAGGGAAGTAATTCTGGCGATGGAATTGGGGAAAGAGACCATGAATGGAAAGAGAATGATGCCGTCACCAATGAATAAGCCGAAAAATGAGTCAGTTAAGCCAATAAATGGTATTAACGACTCTGACTGATAAAGCGTACGTGTGGTGAATACGATATGGGCACCGAAAACTTTTCTAGTGCGACAGGCATTGCGATGCACGTGACTCACAACTAGACCGCCAGATAAGCTGCATGTGTGTGCACACAAGCCAGCAAGCGACATCATGGGAAAAACCGGAATCACTTCAGAGTGAAAAAACATCAAACATAATCCAGACACTTTATAGTTTTACAATCGATATGCTATGACTAGAATATGACTAATTTATTGCGGATAACAAAAGAACAATATCAATCTCCAGAAGTATGCGGAATAGCGATGTCGCTTAGAGTAAGATAAACCCATTGAAAAAATACAAGAAAATCTGAAAATATGACATCAAGCAGCTCTTCGGCCCATTTGCAGATGAGAGAAGTTGAAGAGCGCGCACCGCTCCAACAACACCGTGAATTCTTCGACGCCTGTAGATTGTGCCGCCTGCAATCTCACCATTGTTCCACAAACTGTCGTCACTTTCTACTACAAATTAAAATTGCGTTCACCCTTCCAGTTCGCTACTTCCTTTGCTCATGCTCATCTTTTTGTATGAAGATAAGTATCACTTTCAGATGGCAACTAGTATAGAATCAACACAACCGATCTGCGGATGCAAAGGAGTTAGATTTTGCGCTCTTTGTGAGACGTCGGAAAGAGTCCAGAAGCTAAGACTTGAAGAAGACAAGTTCGTGATTGTGATCTGGTTCGAAATCTTCCCTTTATCTAGTTTTACTCTAGATATGCAAACTATGAAATTTTTGTTTTCGACCATATAACGAGTAGAGGATTTCGATCTCCGCATTTGACATCTACCTCATCTGTAGAAGAAATAATAGATGGTAAGTTTCAGTTGTCGCAAATTATTTGGAGGTTTCTGGTCTGTTTTTCAAGATTTTTATCATTTGCACCAGTTTCTTCGGATACTTGATCCATCTTCATGAAGCCATCAGTTTTGAGGTGCTGTGATGGTAATGCAAGATCATAAGATGATATAAGCCATCATTCCATTCTGTGACTTGGCAAGGCTGTCACCATTGATTTTATTCTGATCAAGCGTCCAGTATTGAAATGCTACCGCATGCTTGAGGATGCGTTTAAAACACGAATGCAGAGTCAAAGCTTCCTGAAAAATTAATGGCGATTTTCAAACATCTACGCCAGTTCAACAGAAAGCCGTCAAACTTTCTAATTTCGAACGACTCGTAAGCGGAAGTACTCTGTTTGCCATTTTTTGAGAACTCGCACATTGAGCTGGACTTTTGTGGCCTCTAGCTACTTTGTCATGCGAACCAGTCCTCGCCATATCTTTTTGGTACCGTGAGACACATACCCCGCCTTTGTCAACGGCATTTTTCGTTTCACAGCCACCTTCGTATCGAAGCAACTAAAATCTGTGTTGGTTAGCTGTAAAGTATCCCCTAATGTCGCAGTGATGTCCCTTTCTTGATATCCAGCTGCGTTTTTGCCCTGCATGTAATACCACTTCTCAACTGCCTCTACATCTTCGCTTAACCACTTACCTTTTAAATATATCTTTTCTTGCTTTGCGCAAAAAAAAATGTTTGGTCTCGGTTGACGCCCTCATGTTTGCCCAAAAACCACAAGAAAACACTCATGAGGCAGCAAGGCAGCTCTAACGTTCTTCGAAATGGTTTCTTGTAAGCGGCGCTGCAAAGGTTATATCGAAAGTTATAGTGCTCTTGAAAGCTAGTCGTGTGCTACTTCTTTAATGCCACAATTGCGTTTGAAGTTATGACTAGTAGAAAGTCATATGGGCACAGTGCAATCATTACATGTCCAAAACACAGCACTGAAATTTGATAGCACGGAAGGATTTTATAGCTAAGGTTATGCTATGTGTCCAAAATGGTCATCAAATTTGTCTTTGAAATATAGAAGCTTCCCGAGGACATTATCAGCAGAACTTCCTGAGGGCTTTGTGTGAATTTCCAAGGTGATCCTTGGGAAGTTCCCTTATATTCTCTCAGCTGTTAAAGAAACAAATCGATAGCCGAAATCTATCTAGATTTCCAGCAACGGAGTCGTGCAGTACGTCGTCCAGCACGAAAGATGCTATCAACATTGAAGGTCTCTACGTTGTATACGATTTTCTGTCTGAATCAGAAGAGAGGGAGATTATGGAAATGATTGATGGAGTCGAATGGATGCTTTCGCAGTCTGGTAGACGAAAACAGGTGCTTTGAATGCGCTTTGGTTTCGGAAGTTTGATTCACCACTCTTCAGGATTATGGTCCTAAGGTCAACTTCAAACACAAAAAAGTGAAGACGGACACGTTTGTAGGTAGTTTTATCTTTCATACACGTGTTGGCACACTTCCATTTGATTTGGAGGTATGCCTGAATACGCTGACATGCTTCTCGAGAAGATGCGGAACGTCTCTGAAGAGAAGCTAGGAAACTATACACCGTTCGAAATGTGCAACTTGGAGTACGACGAGACTAAGAAGAGTGCTATCGAAATGCACCATGATGACATGTGGATCTGGGGAAACCGTCTTATCAGGTATGCTATTCAAAATTCTCTTTTTCAATATCTTTTTTTCTTGTGATAGCCAGGGTCAAGCAAGGAGTGTGGCACACGATCGCTGTTTACGACCCCCCCCCCCCCCGATTGCTGTCTTAATAAACCCCCCCCCTGAACTATATACCTAAGATAGCATTACCAGAGTTGAGAAAGAGGTCAGGCACAAGTCTTTCGAAACTCCCCCTCCCCTCTTATGAAAGCCCTCAAACGATTCCTTCTTCCTCCTCTTAAAATCTGGACCTCAAAGTGTGACATTCTGGAGGACACCATCTTTTTCTAGAGAGTTTTCAGATTTCTGGGAGCTGTACGCCCGCTTTTCTGTGACTGCACTTTACAATCACACGTAATTTGACGGCTGATTTTGATCTGAATGGGCATATTGAAAGGGCCATAATTTTCTTATGGGTGGGGCGTTCGGCTCCAAATTTCCAATGTAGCAAGAAGAAGCTATGTGCTCAATACTCATACCAGCAATGGAGCGCTTTCTGGATTTTGAAGGCAAGTTAAGGGGGTGCGGCACACCCCTTTAAAAGCTGCGGCAGCCGCAGCTTTTAAAGGGGTGTGCCGCACCCCATTAACCATATCAAAAAAAACATTTTTAGCGGACAGTAATTATATGAATCGATAGCTAAACCTTGTAGATTCCATAGGACTGTTTGGAGCCTGATATGTCTTCTCAGCTCTAAGTAATATTTGGTGAAAGCACAGCGATCAAAAGCGAAAAATGGGAAAAACGAGATTTTGGTTGGCTTCTAATTCCACAGTTTGCAGGTCTTCTGAAGCGGGATTCCTGAGGTGGACAAAGAAGGAGTAGTGCTTTGTCTTGAGTGCAAAAACGGATAGCTAATTCACCTTTGAAACAAAGTTAACCATTTTGGAATTTGACCATTTCATTTAGGTAGCTTATCAGATTACCCAACTACGACCCCCTCCCCTTTTGACTCTTCAATACGACCCCCCAGGTGTGGCGTGCCGCACCCCACGCTTGACCCTGGTGATAGCCCATTTGCTTAGTTTGCAGTAGGTAGCTCAGTAGTTTTCTGATAAAAATGATTCGTCATCCTTATTTGGCTTTGTTGAATCGGTTTTCAAACATCAAAAATATCCTTCAATGCCGAGTCGACTATTTCAGCATCAACCTTTTGAGTGGTACGGTTATGACTCTTGCGAACGAGGAAAGACAGCAGGTATTCCCAGTGTTTTCACCTTGGTAACGTCGCTCTTGCGTTCCCAATGGTTACTTCCATGTTCGCTTCCGTAATTCTGTTTTAGCTCTGCTATGCATGGTTCCCACAAAGAAGCTTATTGTGTATGGCTGATGACGCGAGGTAGGTGCATAATACATATCGTTTTCATTTTAACCTTGAAATTTCTTTTGCGCGAATATTTGGATAACTTCATCAACCATTTGTGACATTGAGGGATACTGTTTTCCAACGGACGCTATCAGCCGCTTATGTTTCGCACAACAACGAGCGTTCGCTTTCTTTTCATTTCTCAAAATATTGGCATTTTTATTTATTCATGAGTGGTTAGCCTGCCTTGGTCGAAAAAAGACCTTGTTTAGGTAGATAAAACGTCACTTTTATCTTATACTAGCTGGCTTACCCGGCTCCGCCGTATCCGAACCAAACTTGGCACACATACACTTCGGGTCCGGGTGTCACAGTCCACTTTTCGTTATCGATCGATGTCGATTTTACCGATTTTTATCGATTTTTTTGCAGAGTTCACCTACAGGGCTAGGAGTTGGCACAGGGGGGGGGGAAGTGAGCGTGGGGATTCCGAATACAATATTAGTTTTCAGAATTATCGATTACTTTTATTGATTTTATCGGTTTTTTGTAAATTTTGACATGCGAGGCTGGGATTTTGCACAGGGGGGTAATCGAGCATGCTGATTACGAACAAAATATTAGTTTTCAGGATCGTCCATTACTTTTATCGATTTTATCGATTTTTTTTGTAAAGTTTGACCTGCGGGGCTGGGAGTTTGCACAGGGGGGGGGGGGGTAATCGAGCATGCAGATTACGAATACAATATCAGTTTTCAAGATCGTCCATTACTTTTATCGATTTTATCGATTTTTTGAAAATTTGAGCTAGGGGGCTGGAATTTGGCACAGGGGTGTAATCGAGCATGCTGATCACCCCCCTTGGGGATGATCAGCATGCTCGATTACCCCCCCCCCCCCTGTGCCAACTCCCAGCCCCCTAGCTCAAACTTTGCAAAAAAATCGATAAAATCGATAAAAGTAATCGATAATCCCGAAAACCAATATTGTATTCGGAATCCCCATGCTCGATTACCCCCTGTGCGAACTCCCAGCCCCGTAGCTCAAACTTTGCAAAAAAATCGATAAAATCGATAAAAGTAATCGATAATCCTGAAAACCAATATTGTATTCGGAATCCCCATGCTCGATTACCCCCCTGTGCCAACTCCCAGCCCCGTAGGTGAACTCAGCAAAAAAATCGATAAAAATCGATAAAATCGATATCGATCCATGACGAAAAGTAGCCTATGACACCCGCCGGGGCCCGAAGTGTATGTGTGCCAAGTTTGGTCCGGATCGGCTCAGAAATGAAATTTTCTATTCGGAACATACGTACATACATACAGACATACAGGGCTTTTCAACCTGAGAGTCGCAAGTTTCGCTTGCGCGGCTCCTCCAACGCGGCCGCCTCGCTCAGGCCGCGCGCGGCGTTTGCTGCGTATCGCCCGGATTTCGCCAAGCTTCAGTCGACGCGCAGCCAGCGCCGCGAACGCTGCGCGGACCTAAGCGTGGCGTCCTAGCGGGGCGGGTGGGACACTCAGGTTGTAAAGCCCTGTACATACAGACATACATACAGACAAACAGACATTCAGCTTTATATATAAGATAAGCGATGGTTTGCTTCAGTACTTTTTTCTCGTCACATACAGAACGTAGATATCTTGATTGAGTCGTACTTGTCATCAAAACTGAATTAATTTTCCGAAATAAAAAATTTTGAGGTACGAATGGAAACACGCTGTGCTGTCCCATCACATACGTGGGCGTAGAATTGCCCTCACAATGCGGGAACCATCCAAAGAATTTCAAGTAGGTTTTCCGCTAAGATACTGTCTGTAGAATTCGGTACACCCATTAATTGTATTTCCAAGTTACTGTATTCTGATAAGTTCAGCCTCTGCATAACACAGAGTTCTGTTGGATGCTTTCATGTTTTTTTCAACGATTTTCTGGTGTGACCTGCCGATAGTGTAGTTTGTGGCACAGCCTCAAAGAGATAAATTTTAGGAAGGAGGTCAGCTCTATGAGAAGTATGGGAAGCGTCTGATTGAGCTGAGCAATGTGCGAGTCCCGTTGAGGAAATTTCAGTGAGCAATTGTTACTAGAAGTTTGCCCCTCATCATTGCTAGTTTTCTCGGTGTTGATTAGCGCTAGCGTTCATGAATAGATTAGCTTTCCATTTTGTTTGAGTGTTTTATATACGTTTTTTTTTTCACTGCCTATCTGTTTATCTTGTTAGTCTTGCGGCCAAACTCTCTATAATTACACGTTGTGTACGTACGTGGAGGTGATGCGCATTGTCGGAATCGGGGCCGGCTTGAATTTTTCCTCTTTCCCTGGTTAGAGTCGAGGCTGACAGCGTGTCCATGACTGTTGTGAAGTCCAAAAGCAACCTAACACTTTTACAAGGTGGGAGGATCGAGTTTGACATTAATGTCGTATCGAAGTCAGAGGAAACTAATTTTGTTTATTGACTTTTGCTTCCGTGCTGCACTATCCTGATAGCACAATACGATTGTTGATAGCATTTGGTTTGATCGCGCTAATTTTATTTTATATCATGTAGGAAGATTCGGCTATTGATCGAAACTCGAAGGGCTTTAAAGCCCCCGTCCAACCAGACAGCACGGTGAGATTTTGATGCTGTATGATAGCACAGCCTCTAAGTAAATAATTGCCCAAGTCCTGCTGCAGTAAGGGCCGCGCATGCATCAACCTGTTACGAGTCCGCTGCATGGCGATCGATTTGCATTTCAGTTGTGGAAGTTCTTCGACTCGACGAAGGGCGGACATCTATCACAATTAAAATGCAAAATTATCGGCGTGCAGTGAACTCTCAACAAATGTCATGTTGGGGGAATCTTGAGGCGATGAAATCGCGTGGTGTATAACCGGCCCTATAGTGAGTATTAAAGCGAGAAAATTGCCCTAGAAGGCAAAGCGGCCCAGAAATTTCCTTCCATCAACGTGGATCAAGTCCAAAATTGCGCTCCGTGTATGTAGAATTGTCATAAATTCAAAGTATTTACACAAAGCGCTGCACGGCTCAGGTATGCGCTGACTTCCTTCAGATGTGCATGGTGCTAGCATATAGAGCTTGGCCACCGTGACTTGATTAGAACAAGTTTTGTGATGACTTATGTGCATAAGTGATTTGTTAGTTGACCTTTGACAATTGCTCTCACTTGCTTTCATACTGTGCTATAGGAACTTTTCATTTTGTGATATTTTGGAGTTGTGATCTGATTAATAAAACATTTTGATGTACAACACAAACACTATAAGGCGATTAATCTGTAACAAACGCGAGAAAGTGGACTACTGGGCAATGTTCCATTCCGGTTGAACTTGTTCGGTAAAGCGAATGTTTTGAGTGTTCAAGGTAAGGATGTATGGAAATTGGAGGCTGGTTTACTGGATATGGGCGACAGGCAGCTCCAGATGAAGTCATGTTTTTATTTGAATATTCGGTCAGATGATCTATCTTTGAAAAAATTGTTTTTGCGGGTAGATAAATAGAAGAAGATACAACAGGCGTTATAGATGAAATCCAAGAAGTTTGTCGTCGATTCGCTCCATCTCGGACTCGTGATTCATCGATGCCTTGTAGTTTGCCAGTGGTCTTGTCGAACCGAGGCATTTCAGAAGATCTGGTGTGATCTTGGTTTCTGGGGTGATGCCTAAAAAAACAAATGCACAAAAAATTTGGATGTGTTAATTCTCGCTGTCAGAGCTCTCCATGGTAGCAAGATATTAGATTGGTCTAAAAGTTTGTTCGTAGCATTTGCAAAAAATGTACCTATATAACCTCAAGATTTCTCAATAAATAAATCTGCACAGCTTCAATCTTGCTCAAAGAGGAGATCATGCGCTTCACACACAGCACCTGTGATGCCTTCTAGTATGCATGAATAGCGGAGATAGAAGCTGTAGAAGAAAATCACATGATTTTTGATTCAGTGAAGTCGCCAAAAATCGGAAGCCTGCACAAAAAATCGGAGCAGTTGAGATCATAAATTTTATATCTCTCTTTTCTGTCCGAGCAACTTCGGTCTTGATTATCTCTGTGAAAAATTGTGATTTTCGAGAATGATGCAGTACTGCCTTATTAATATCATATCTTCTCGTAAAAAAAGCTCAATTATCACAGATTTTACCCAGATGAAAAGAGCGGGTCATTAAACTTATACTATCAACTGTAATTTTTTGGCTTAGTATTTTTAGCGACTTTACACAGAAAAATCGAAATCTGAGTAAATGTAAATTTTCTAAAGCTTCTATCTATGAAAATTATGCCTAACAGAAGAAATTTAGATGCTGATGTGAGCTTCATGACCTTCTCTCTAAACAAAATCAAAACTGTGCAGATTTTTTGAGAATTACGAAGTTATGAATTTTTGAAAATGGTGCGAGTTTTTGGGCTAACCTAATGACTATGAAGGACTAAATTTCTTAGGTTAGAAGTAACAGAAAGTCCATAGCTTACTGCTCAGCACAGCGATATCCCTTTTCATCGATTGGATCACAAGCTGCCGCTTCGCATACGCTTCGGCATCACCCGCACGAGTCAATTTGTGCTGTGCCAACTGTAAACATAGTTTATCGAGGTGTGTTTCTCAGTTTGCAAGAACTTGTTCTGTACCTTGTCTTTGATGACATTCAATGGATCCTTTCGTAGATTCTTTCTTTCACTCAAACGGTCATTGATCTGAGCGAGCAGTTCGACTCTACGCTGTGGCCTAAACAATTTCCCTTTGCTTAAGAAAATTGCTAGTTGTAGTGCTTCTCGAATCGTCACTCAACATGCCAAGATTTCAAGACAGAAGAGCATATGGGATCTCTCCAAATAAAGTTAGGTGTCATACAACTTCGTATAGGGACATTTGACCCAGACAACTGACCGGAACTTCCGCAGGACATTTGGAAAATTCCGCCGAGTTACCGCGGAAGCACAAGAGCGCTACGGAAGTTGCGAAGAATGCGAATCATAACAGCAATAGAGAACAACCGAGAATTGAACCTTTCTCTGTTGACTGCGAGACTCACTCACTATCTTCTGCTCTACGGATAACATGTTCGGCAATGCGCTCTAATTGCTGACGCGACAACGTCGTAAGAGATGATACATTCAAAAGCCTGCGAAGTGCTGGCAGGTCGAAGTGCTGCGGAACCGCTGGCATTTCTCGGAATATCCGCAGTGTTTTACAACAAATCCTGCAAAAGTTCCCGCGGAAGTTCCCATTTTCAACGTTTCCACTTTTGTGATAGCAAACAAGATTCTGCGGAAACGCTGCAAATTTGACTTGTCCTGTGGAAGTTCCGGTGAATTGTCTGAGAATAGATTTTGCACCGTTAGCAGTTTGCGAGATTGTGCCTTAGAAATGTATTTCACCAACTCCTCACCTTATTTTTGTGCATTTGCGCAGGTATGCTTCAGCCATTCTTCGCTTGTGATACTTCCTAAACTGAACAATAATTGCTTGAGTACTGTAGCTGTAGTTGAAAGTAAGCGACTCACTGCTCTTTGTATGACCATTGCTGCTTTGTGCCTCTTTTCGTATTCCATTCTCTCCAAAATATCCTCGCTTTCGTTCTTTATCGATTTCGTAGGCTTTTCAGATTCTTTTGCTAGATACTCCCCGACTTTGCGAGCCGGCAGTTGAAGTATATGCTCGTACTTCATCAGATCGTAAGCCTGAAGGGTTATGATTTAGTGTTCCGTTTACAAGTGAGTTTTTTATTTTGCAAAATGTTTGAACAAGGCCAAACAGATCAATTGTGGAAAATTCTCGTACACATTGGTATTTGAATGCCTTTCAGAAAATTTTATAGCAAGGTACTTGTCTATGTTTAAAAACGCTTAATAAACCTTTATATCACTCTATCGGAAACCTTGATGCAGTAAATGCACACAGAAATGTAGTCTCCAATCAGAGCAAAATTGAAGCGACGCTCTATATCTCTAAAAATTACAGCTCAAGGAACTAAAGTCCTGAAAGATTGAATGCATCCAGAAATGTCATACAGCCAGCAATTGTGTGAAAAATTGCTTCTGTCAAGCTATATACTTGAAATTAGCCAATTTTTAGATACTGATTTTTATTTTGATTATTATATTAGAAGCTGATTCTGATCAGTCAAAAGCAATGTTACGACTTTTGGATTTGCTGTCTCCAATGACTGATCTTTGGTAAAGTTTACTAACGAGTGCAACTTTTGTGAAGGAAGTTTAGACCTTACAGACAAATGAGGCTGGTACAAATATGTTGGTACATAAGTGCGCCAACATTTGCAATTTTTGCTTGGAAAAAATTTGGAAAACATTTTAGATTATGTCAACTTCCTATACATGCGAGAAATGTTGTATATTATCATCCACGTCAGAATATTTCCAAAAAAAACTTGAATGAAAACATTTCGTAAATAACTAGTTAAGAGTGTTCTAACGATATCTATTCATCAACACGATTTTTTACCTAGGTACAAAGACAGGCTCATGAGATCAAGAATAAAACTCGAATCAGACTGCGGTAGCTGCAACAATCTTATGACCCAAATTCTAGAAAATTTTAGGGGGTTACTCTTAATCAACTTGTGTTGTTCCAATATGCCAGTAAAGAATTTCGATTCAATTTTGCATTTATTTCCTTCGTCAAGTGTATCAAATTAGACAGTTTTATATGATTCAAAAAGCGTTACAAACTTAGAAACTTTGGTGCAAAATCTATGCGTCAACTCAACAATTTCAAAATCTATGATGTTTCCCATATTCTATTGGCAGTATTCTACGTTAGTGTTAATCAATACAGTTTGTCATTGGAATTGAATTAGTGAAAAAATTGGTTCAACCTTTCTTCTCCGGATCGCATTCAGCTTCTCAATAAGTTCAGTATTGTGGAGCGAGATATCTTGTAATCCACGCCATTCCGAGCTGGAGATTACCTTTTACAAAAGCGGGGGCGGGGCAGCTGGAGTTGTTCAATACTCACATTTTTCTTGCTTTTTCAGATAGTTGCTCGCTGTGCTTCATATGTTTCCTCCACCAATACTGCATTTGCACTGCTGCTGACTCCTAAATAATATCAAAGCTTGAACACATTGCCTTTTTATGCACATTATCAAATAGGTTACCTCTTTGTCATTGAGTGACATATTCAAAGAGAAGCAGAGCTGAGTTCCAGATAAAAATAATCTGGACCTTTTTACAAGGACAAGTCGTAAAAATTCAGATTAGCGGGCTGGAACGCGAGGGTGGAAAGGTTGGTTACCATGACGATGGTACGCAAAGCGCCTGCAAAACGTTGTTCGAGGTACCAGACCTGTCCTTCGGTGTATATTTACCACTCATTAAAAGTAAATAATTAAAGTCGCAGTAATCAGCTGCAGTGTGCAAGAATAGTTCTGAAGCTCGAATGAGCCCAAAACACTGACAACGAATTCTCAGAAGTGAAATACTGCCATTCTCATAACTTTTTATCATAAAGTGAGGATTTGACTCAGATGATTCATTTTCCTGACTGTTGATCTCCAAACATTTGAATGCAGTTTCAAAGTTTTGCAGGGAGTTCGATTCAATTTGTAATCAATAGAAGTTCTTTTTTATTAGGTTGTACCGAATGTTTTGTCAGTTTTTTTCACCGCTCACTAAAACTCACAGAACACCACCATTCCTGTTATATGGGTCACGTTTATCAAGTCCGTTATAATTGATTATTCAATAAAAACCGCTGCTTTTTGATTACAAATCAAGTTTACCACGTAAAAGTACCGAAAATTCCAAAAGCTGCTTTTTCAAAGCACCAAGCATGGTTATGGCATAAATAATGTTCAATAAGAATCATGTTTCAATTCGCAGAAACTTATAAAGCTTCCTTGTATTTGCTGCAGTTGCGTGTTTCATGATTTTGCCAAAAATCGAGACCTCCGAAGGGAAAATTTTTAAGATAAAAATAGGGGAGAATCTGAAAGTATTAACTTGTACTTTATTTGATTCATACTTAATCTTTTCTGAAACTTTGGAATGAAGTTCATGAAAAATAGTCTAACTTTGAATAAATTTGATAGGTGGATAATCTTGGCAATTATCAAAAAAAGCATATAAATTTGTGGTTCGAAAAAGTGTTTACAAGAAAGAAAAGAAAAAACTGCAGCGAATACATGTTGAAACTCATTCAGGACTTCATTGTGCGTGGTTTTATAATGACTTGTAAAAACGGACAAAACCTTCAGGACAACCTAATAGTTCATTTATACGATTTGATTTCGCTGACAAAAAAAAAGATTGGAGCGGAATTTTCGGAATGCTTTCATTTTTTACTTTAAAATCATGTGTATTATTGCATAGTTTGTGCAGAACTGCAAGAAGATAGGCTTTTTTATTGGGTAAACCCAAAAGTTTTCCCCGTTTCTGAAGTTCAATTTCAAATGACCGTAACTCTTTCCAAAAATGTTTTGCAAGTGCAATAAATTGTGGTTCAATCTACAAATCCTCAGCAGTTCGACAATTCGAAGCATATCAAAAAATTATCGCAACAGCTTACTTACTTGGATACTTATCGTTAGATGGCCCGTCCTCACGTAACGTGCGGGCACTAATACAGGAGTTTCCATTGATCCCTATCCCTCGCTTTGGACATGGTCAGTGGCTGCTTCCACGACTCTAGGGACGAAAATCAACCCCTATCAGCTGATTTCTCAGCTGGTCCATCCGTTCCACGAACACATCTGCACATTTCGTTGGAGGTCTTCCCCGGAGACGTCTGGCTTTGCGAGTAATCCACTCAAGTGTTCTTGGTGTCCATCTATCGTCGGTTCTCCTTATGATGTGACCGGCCCATCGGTGCTTCGCTTTCGTAATGTATTCCGCTGGGTCACGAAAAGGGATATTCTTCCCATATCCGTGCTGCGAAATCCGACTAGATGTTGCTTGTGTCGGGTCATCTTCAGAAGACTACGCTCGAGCGCTATGTGGGTGGTCCTTAAAGCTTTCGACGTGGCTACGGTGTCGGCCTAAGTCTCAGCTGCATAACAGAGCGCCGGGAGAACGGTTGAGTCGACAAGTGGGTACGAAGCTACGGGTCCGTCAGTTGGTCGGTGGATTACTTCAGAGGCTCAAAGGCTGCCCAGGCTGCTCTTCTTCTCCTTTTAAGTTCTTCCTTCAAGTCGTTCTCCATTTCATCGAACGTCCGAGGTACACGTAAGAAGAGTCTTCATAATAGGGATGCCTTCCAATTCCATTTCTGCATTTTCGCAAAGGGCGTTCTTTATGAATTGAGTCTTCTTCCGTTTATTCGCAATCTGATATTCTTCCCTACTTCGTTTAATTCTTTAAGCATCGTCTCTGCTTCAAGATCCTGCTCGAAAAGAAAACGATGTCTCCCGCAAAACGAAGGTTCGACAGAAATCTCCCATCAACTCGTATGCCTCTCTCGTCCCAGTCCAGTGACTTCATCACCCACTGCAAGGCCGCGGTGAACAGCTTCTGCGAGACTATGTCGCATTGTCGGGTCCCTTCCCTATTGGGATGGTCAGGAAACGATGGAATAGCTGCATCGTCGTTGTACAGTCCTTATAGCAGTCGGCTAACGTCCTCACGTAAGCAGACAGGATGGCGTTGTTTTCGACGCCGTCAAAGGCTTTCTCGTAGCCGGCGAAGGTCAGGACGAGAAGCAGTCGGCACTTCCGGCAGACTTCTATGACCTCGAGACCGTCTGGATGTGGTCTACGCAGCTGAATCCTTTGCGAAATCCAGCTTGTTCTTGGGGTTGGGCTTCATCCAGTGTTCCAGATATGCGAGCGAGGATAATCCTCGTAGAAAGTTTGTATAGCACACTCAGCAGCCATATTGGACAGCAGTTCCGAAGATCCTCCCGTTCATCCTTCTTGAAGAGAAGAACGATTTTTGACGTACTTTCGGGAATCTTCTCTAAAGGTATGATGTCGGATGCGACGCGAATCTCTCGGGTAGACGTTGTCCTCCGGCTCACAAATTTGACGGGGAGATGGTCAGGTCCCGGAGCCGTGGATGCCTTTATGGTCTGCGCACTTCAGCAGGTAGAATTCGTGGTGGTACTTCTTAGGGAACAACGGGCAGGCACGGGTGTTGATGAGCGGAAGAGGTTGGTGTAGAAGTTCTTCGCGATAGATTCCATCTTGTATCGGGAAGAAGTCGGAGTCCCGTCTTCGTTTAATAGTACAGCCAGAGGTACGTGATATTTACAGAGGTTCTTTCGGCACTTCTTAAGACTTTGTCTTCCTTCGGCTGCTTCCGTATCTTGGCTTGCCTATACTTCCTGAGATTCTCCTGCAAAGTGTTCTGCAACTGGCGTTTGCTATCAGCCGCTCAACATGGGTTACATTCGGATTTTGCCTCAGAAATCTTCTCGAGCAATTCCTCGATAGTCTTCGGAATGCGTTCCAAGTTCTTCTCAGAATTTACTGAGGGGCATTCTCCGTAGCCTCGCAATCCTTTCGGAAGACGGTCGTAGTCGTACGTTGGGTCCTCCTCGATGGGCCAGTCCGAACTTGATATGAGCTCTTCCAGCCTGTTACCGTCATAAACGACTTCCTTCTTTCTCGCGGCACTGTGACAAACTTTCTTTTCCAGCCTTCGGCTGAGTCGTCTTCGCTCGAAGGAGGCGGTGATAGGAGCTAGTGCAGAAAGATGGAGCTACTAACAAGGGGCGGACCCACAGTCGAAAGTGCGAAATGTGGTAAGCTATATATCATCTAAATCAGCGTGAGACGCTGATTTCAAATCTGTATCCATTATCTGCCAAGCGGTTCTCTAGAAGGAGATATGAGCCTCGGTTGCTCGTTGACATGTCAAGTTTCGTTGAGTAGGATCCGCACCTGAGAGCCAGGTGTGGTCGTTTGGTGTAGTGGATAAGCGCGGAGCCTATGGAGCAGATGGTCGAGGGATCGAATCCTTTTCCCGTTCAACATTTTTGCAAGTTAAGAATATGTTTGTTTTGCGCTGTAAGGGGTATTCCGAGCACATGTACGGTGTGCGCAAATCATTGCAGGATCCGAATTCTTTCAGGAGGTAAGATACCACCAACTGTGGCGAAAACATTGAGCAAAAAGTAAAGTTCCTTCTTGTCAAACTCACATATCCATATATGTCCAATTTCTTGTTCAACATGTTTACGTTCCCGTCTCAACAAGATTAGCAACTCTGCGGGTCAATCACAAATTTTTCATGATGTATACCTCTGCTTTTAGATTTAGGCATAAAAAATCTTACTCAAATACTGCGTCAAATTCCATATTTTATATTGAGAGCAGGCACAACTAGCACATTATCGCACACATACACTAGATTTGATTCCATTGACTGTCATACCAGCGGCTAGAACCATGGTGAAAAAAAATTTGCGAAAATCCCAACTTTTCAGCAGTAGAATATGATCTGAAGTCCGTACATGTGCGCGGGATGCCCCTTATAGCGCAAAACAAACATATTCTTAGCTTGCAAAAATGTTAAACGGGAAAGGGGTTCGAACCCTCGACCATCTGCTCCATAGGCTCCGCGCTTATCCACTACACCAGACGACAACATCTGATTTCCGGGTGCGGATCCTACTTAACGAAACTTGACATGTCATCGAGCAACCGAGCCTCATAATTCCTTTTAGAGAACCGCTTGGCAGATAGTGGATACAGATTTGAAATCAGCGTCTCACGCTGATTCAGATGATGTATAGCTTTCTTCATTTCGCACTTTCGACTCTGGGTCCGCCCCTTGTAAGACATCGAGCAAGCTCCACCTTCGGTTGGTGAGAATGTGGTTGATCTCGATCAAGATCAAAAGCTATGGTGCCTAAATCTCGTTCTCAAAAAATACAAAATCAAAAAGGAAACTCGCAGAGTCTTCCAGTTTCCCAGGAAGATGCAAATGTGAGAAATCTGAGCAATGGGGAAGGCGATTTTAGCACCATGACCATTCAAGAGCTAAATGCGTCGATATCAGACCTCAGTAAAGATCCTACCATTGGTAAGATGCTTTCGGCTCTGTCCGAAAAGATATCTGCGGGTTTCTCGGAGGTCATAGAAGCGGAAAAGCGAGCGCGGAGCCTTGTTATGAGCGGGGTGCCTGAGCCTCCGGAGGGCTTGCGTCCATCGCAGCGCCGAGAGTATCTCCAGGAAAAGGT